CGGGCCGACAGGGGGCGCCGACGGGGCGCCGACGCGGCGCCCATTCCGGCCTCGGAGCTTCCTGTGCGCCGCGCCGCAGGTGTGAAGAGCGGCGCTTCGACGCCTCGCACCGCCGCGGGCGGACAGAGAAGGAAACCGAGGGTCCGAAGGGACGTGTGTGGGAGTGTCGCAGCCACCGAGTAGCAGAGCTCCGTTCGAACCCAGGTAGGTCACACTCCAAGTTCTGAACCCCTTACCCAAACGCGCCCCTGTCCCCCTGCCCACGGCACCCATTCCGGCAAATCGCGGTATGTCAGAATCCGGTTACCTGGGGAACTGATCCTCCTTAGGCCTCTGTTCCCTCAGTGGCAGATTTAAGTTGAGCCATAACTTTGGTCATCTCCTAGTTCACAGTACTGCCCGCCGAGCACTTGAACACTAGTCCGTACTCCCCAACCCGGTCTGCTTTGTCACCTGAACAAACCCAGCAGTCCAAAGTCCCCAGCCACCTTAGTCCAATAGCAGGAGGAAGGAGGCGTGTTGAAGTAATTATTTATTATTAATTAGAAACGATTATTTAAATTATTACTATTATTTAGCCTAGAAAAAACGTAAATTTGCTGGGCTGGCCTGAAAGCCCAGGGTCCAGAGCAGAATCAGCTCTGAGAGACCCAGGATACTTGCAAACCTAGATGCTTTTTTAATATTTGCCTTATTCAGCAGGCACAACAGAAAGAAGAGTTTCCACCCCCCCCTCCAAATACCAGAGTTTTCATTTTTAAGCCAAAGAGAGGGCTTAAGCTTAAGACCTAACTTTATCTTTTTTGTTTGGTTGGTTATTCAACCGCTTCTTATGGTTTACTGATATTACTAGTGTGTACTACCTAGCAAGATGATCATCTCTGCTGCGACCACCCCTGGGGCTGAGAAGCCACCCGTGGTATTTAAAAGTTAGCAGATGTAAGTCACAATTACAGAATTGTTTTCTAGAGTACTGTTATGTTTCTTCCTATGATAAGTTACTCTTCTATTCAGGAGTCTGGGCTATTGTCAAAACCTGACTGTAAACACTAACAGACGAGAGGACTGTATCAGCATCCACTGTTACTGGTGACCTGGGAGTGCTTTTTAGTTCAGAATCTTGGAGACCGGTTTAGTCTGGCTCCAGACCGTCTTTTTCTAGGCTGGTTGCTCGTCTTCTAATAAAACCACTCTACCGCCCCGCCTCTTCCCATCCTTCACTTACAGTGAGCTCATAGTTAATCCGCGTAGTGCATGGAGAGGGGTGGGCGCCACGGAAACCATGGAGACTAGCTGAGTGTTCAGGGACAAAATAAACAGTGACATGTAAAGGTAGGAGAATTATTATAGCAAAAACAACTTACTGAAGTTGAAATTGTCACAGAGACCATACTGTGAAGTAAATGAAAAATTACCAAGCAAGTTTCTATGGTAAGGGTAGATTTTTCTTCTCAAACAAAGACACCACTCTTGCTAATTTGGTGATAAGAATTCCTGCAATTCTTTGGTCATTTTCCAAATTGAAGTAACATTAATAATTGTCCCAAAAGCATGGTTCTATGATGGATAATAGCTCTCTTGATTTTTTTTTTATTCTTATTGGGGGTGGCGGTAATTAAGTTTATTTATTTACTTTTAGAGGAGGTACTGGGGATTGAATCCAGGACCTCCTACATGCTAAGCATGTGCTCCACCACTTGAGCTATACCCTCCTACCTGAAAGCTTTCTTGCTTTTAAACAGCTTTATGGAGGTTATACAATAAGTTCCATATATTTAAAGTGTAAATTTGATGCATTCTGACATAGGTATACATCCATAAAACCATAACCAAAATCAAAATAATCATATCCATCACCCCCAGTTTCCTCAGCCCCTTTTTTTAGTCCATTCTCCACTCATCCATCCCTGTCTCCCCCATCATCCTCTGCTTTCTGTCACTATACATTAGTTTGCATTTTCTATATTATTATATATAGTTGAACCTTGAACAATGTGGGGGTTAGGGTGCCAACCCTCCATGCAGTGGAAAATCATATAACTTATAGTTGGCCCTCTGTGCCCATAGTTCCACATCATCAGATTCAGCCAACCTTGGATCATGTAGTACTAGAGCATTTACTGTTTAAAAAATTCTTAAGTGGCTTATGCAGTTCAAACCCATGTTTCTCAAGGGTCAACTGTAAACGGAATCATATATATACTCTTTTATTGTTTGGATTCTTTCACTCAGCATAACTTCAGATTCATCCATATTGCTTTATCAGTAGTTCATTTTTATTGATATACTACATTTTGCTTAACCATTCACCTGTTGATGAACATTTGGATTATTTCCAGTTTGGGGCTGTTACAAATAAAGCTGCTATAAACATTTGTATACTGGTCTTTATATGAACACATCTTTCTTATTCTCTTAAGTAAATTGCTAAAGGTGAAATGGCTGGATCATATGATAGAGGAGTATGTTTAATTTTTTAAGAAACTGCCAAACATTTTCCAAAATGGCTATAGCAGTATATGAGAGTTCCAGGTCCTCCATATTGTTGCCAACACTTGGTATGGTCAACCTTTTTTAACAGTCTAATAGGCAGGTAGTGGATTCTCACTGTGCATTTCCCTCATGCCTAATGATACTGAACCCGTTTTTTAAGTGACTATCTTTTTAGAGAAGTTTTAGATTCACAGAAAAATTGCGTGGGAAGTACAGAAGGTTCCCACATAACCCCTGAATCCATATAAGCACAATCTCCCCTACTATCAACATCCTACACAAGAGTGGCACATTTGTTGTAACTGATGAACCTATATTCACACATCATTATCGCTTAAAGTCTATAGCTTGTGTTAGAGTTCACTCTTGGTGGTGTATAAGTGTATAATGATTTTGACAAGGATATAATAACTGTCTCCATCCTTGTAGCACAATGCAGAAGTTTCACTGCTCTAAAATCCTCTGCACTCCACCTATTCATACCCCTCTCTCCCCAGCCCCCTGGCAACCACTAATTTTTTTTAGTGTCTCCATAGTTTTGCCTTTTCTGAAGTGTCTTGCTGGCCTCAAAAGAGTGCATTGGCAGCATTCCTTTGTCTTTGACTTTTTGGAAGAGTTTGAGTAGAATTCATATTTTGTCTTCCTCAAATGTTTGGTAGAATTCACAGTGAAGCTGAACCTTGAGTTTACTTTGTGGGAAGGTTTTTCAAAATTAATTCCATTTGATAATAGATACAGGGCTATTCAGGGTATATATTTCTTCTTGAGTGAATTTTGGTAATTTGTGTCTTTTGATGAATTTTTCCATTTCATCTGAGTTGTTGAATTTATTAGCACAGAGATATTCAGGATATTCCTTTATTATCCCTGTAACAGCTATAGATACAATCTGCAGCAATGCCACCTCTCTCATTCCCGATGTTGGTAATATGTGTCTTCTTTATTTCCTAATCAGCCTGACTAGAGGTTTATCAATTTTAAAGAGTTATTTATTTTGAAGTCTATTCTTGGCAAGTTGAATCTATTGTCCTAAAATCCTACTCTACCAGAGCAGTACATTGTATACAGAAAACAACCTACTGATACTTGCCAAATGAACCAATGAATGAAAAAAAAAAAGGAACCACTGATTTCTGCATATAAAGTCCTTTTAACATTATTACTCTCTTTTAGACATTAGCCATTTCCTCATCTCTTACTTATGTCAGTTATTTAGTACTAGGAAGATATAACTAAGAAGAATCTCCAGAGGCCAGGTTAAATGCTTGCGGATGTGTCCCAAGAGAAGGCTAAATAAAGGGAGGTGAGGCACTGAGGAGGGAAGGAACCTTGAGGCAATAAAGAAAACAGATAGAGACTAAAGACACAGAATCAGAAAGTGTGATAAAACTGTAAGGCAGGAATCCTGAGATATTAAACTAGCAATTTAGACAGGATGAAAGAGTTTAAACTCTAATGACAAGAAACGAAGGTCACATAAAATCTAATTCAAGAGACCACCCGAAGTCATTACAGTAAAATTTTCAATTCAATAGCATCACTTTTTCAAAGGGTATTTAAGAAGTGTTCATATATTTGGAGGAAAAAGAAAAAGAGTACATAAATTAGCTTAGCTAAATTATGAAACATAGTATTTCTATTTATACTCAACACTGAAAAATAATACACTGGGCATATACCTATTTTAGCAGGAAGATCTTAAGATTTCTGGTCAAAGGAACCTCAAAAGGGTCATAACATATGTAGGTAGGAAAAAGCACAAATCTCTCCTTGCTTTTACCAGGCTAAAAAAAAAAAAAAAATCACTCATTTGATTAAACTTGAGTTCCACACTAGCCAACCACAGTGAACTTGGGTTTGCATGCTTCCTAAGCTTTTTTTGTTTTAGAAGACTGTTTTATGTTAATCCTGCACACATTGAGAGTATACATTTTATTAATTATCACATATATGCACACCCCTAAAACCATCACAACCAACCAAGATAATGAACACAACCATCACCCCCAGAAGTTTTCTTGGCCACTTTGTAATCTCTCCCTCCCACACCACTCCCCACTTCACACCCACCACCAAGTTTCCAGGAAACCAATGATTTGCTTTCTGTCACTATAGATTAGTATGTATTTTCTAGAACTTTATATAAATAAAATTATAAAGTGTATACTCTTTCTTGACTGGCTGCTTTCACCCAGCATAACTGAGATTCATTTAATTTGCTGCCTACATCGTGAGTTCCTTTTTGTTGCTAGGCTGTATCCCATTCGATGGTTATGCAACAGTTTATCCATTCACCGGCTGATGGGCATTTGGGTTGTTTCACGTTTTTGTTATTAATAAAGTTGCTATGTGTGGACATGCTTTCATTTTTCTTGGGTGAGGACCTAGGAGTGGAATGGTTGGGTCATATGTTTAAATTTTTAATAAATCGCCAAAAATTTTACCAAGTTGTTGTACCATTTTGTAGTCTCACCAGCAGACTATTAAGAGTTCTAGTTCCACATCCACCCCAGCACTTGGTATGGTTAAGGAGAACGTATGGGGTCTGGGATTCTCCTTAGGAGAATTTATAAGCAGTCATTTATAACTTAGCTAACTGAACATGGGCAAATCACTCTGTCTTTCTAAGTGTGACAATATTCTTAGAATTGCTAAAAACAAAGAAACAAAAAACCTGATAATATCCAGTGCTGGCAAGGATGTATAGTGCCCCTGGGAACTCTTATGTATTGCTGGTGGGAATGCAAAATGGTACAGTCACATATACCTTACTCCTACAT